CTTTCTTGGAGATCAGCTCCAGCAGGGGGTAGGGAACATGTAAACAATGACTGAGAGAGCCCATCCTCCTCCAGGTAAGCACAGTGGCCTGCCTATACACTGAGAATGAATATAAGGAACGTCTAGATCCAAAACTTTCATCCCCATTGCATCACAGAGAAAGAACATTCCTATTTTAAGGGGTCCTGGGTAATATTGTATGAGCCTAAGCCTAGTCAGTGCCCCTTTGAACTTTGTGAAGGAAGTCTATTTATCAGCCATTGGCCTTGCATGTTTTATTCTGATCAACCTCAATGATAAACTAACTGGCTTACCACAAATGTAAAGGGGATAGTGGAGCAATGGTAACCAAGGAAGCTCTGTGATTATGACAACAGACACAGGTTAAGCTAAGGTCTAAAAATAAGTCATAACCATATCCTATTTCCACTGTCATGCATACACAGATGCTAGAAAACTACCCACAACTCCAAAGGATCAATAACAAGTGCTAACCACAGCCCACTCTGGCCTAAAACAATATCCATACCTCTTTTCTTAACTTTTTAATCCATACCCTTTTAGCTAACTTTGAACAATGAGAATATTTCATTGTAAGGTAGTTTGTCACTATGAAACTTCAAATTATAGGAACAATAGAGTTCTCCACATCAATGTCATAACTAAAAAGAATATCACATCCAAACCTCAGCATTTAGTAACCTCTGTGTAAACCATTGCAATGTGAGTGTGAGTTCTCCCATAGTTTGTGCAGCAGAATTTTAATGCATCAACATTAATAGTAACAGAATTAACTGTGCATTTATACACTAAGCCACCATTTACTCACTTAATCCTCTAAGAACAAAATGAAACATCTCCTCTTCAGAATGTGGACAGACCGAAAACCATAAACCCACTTCACCCAAATCACACTGCCTTCATTTCCTTTCTATTGGTATGATAAAACACCATAACCAATACTCTTTGGGAAAGGAAAGGTTTGCTTGGTTTACAGTCCCGTGTCACTGTTCACCATTGAGGGAAGCCAGGGGAAAAGCTCAAGACAGGAAATCTGGAGGCAGGAACTGAAGCAGAAACCATAGAGGAGCAGGGCTTACTGGCTTATTCTTCATGGCTACAACCACTCACTTTTTATTTATACAACCACTCACTTTATAATCCATGACTCTGCAGTTAACTTTTAAACAATGAGGACATTTCTTTGTAAAGTAACTCATCACTCTGTGGCCAGGACTGGCACAGCCTACAGTGGTCTAGGCTCTCCCCTGCATCCCTCATTACTTGCCTGTAGGCCAGTGTGATGCAGGCCTTTTCTAATTTGAGTTTCTCTCATCCCAGATGATGCTAGCTTGTGTCAAGTTGACAAAATGCCAGCCAGCACACAGACTGCTCATGACAGTTAAACATCGGGCTCAACTTCAGATCTTCACACTTACCTGGAAATTTCCACCCCATTCCTATACTGCTGCATATCGTCCTTCTGACACTAAGGCCTTTGAACTCTGTACTGATGGAAAACTCCCTTTCCCCAGTCAGTCAAACTAACTTTTCACACATTTAAATTACTTCAGCTATATCTCCCAGCAGATTCTCATTTCTCTCACATCTCGATTTAATGGCACCTTCTGAATGTTGTACCGCAGTGGGCAAATGTAGCCCGCTCAAGGAGAAACACCAAGTTCCAGTCTGTTCTTGTTCCTTTAAGAAAAAAATTGTAGCTTCATTTAAATAGAATGACCCTGGCCCCCAGCTAGGCTAGAAGACCAAATCTTTGAGACATTATCATAGTGTTTGTGTCACTTTGCTAGGTCGGCTATTAAGAAAGCTAGTGGCTTAAGGAACAGAAAGTCTGGATTTTGGAGCTTGATTCTGAGAGACCAGGGCTGGTCCCTTTGGGGGCCTCTCATCTGTGATTTCAAATGAATGCTGACCCTTGCCTTCACCTGGCTTCTCCAGTGTGCTTCCTATGTCTCATTTCCTCCTCTTCTAAATACACTAATCATATTGTGCTTGGGCTCAGCCATACGAGTTCATTTAACCAAGTTATCTCTTTAGACTGCTTCTCTAAACAGGATTCATAGTAGAGCTGACCCTGTTGTAGGGGTGCAGCCCTGAGGGTGTGAGAGCAGGAGAGCTGACCTTTCCCCCTTGTTACCTCCTGCAGCAATCAGGAGAGAGGGCCCGGCACCTCCTGGGTAAAACAGTAGAGCTGGCCCTAGTGATGTGAGTGTGGGTGACCCAGATCTGAGAACCTGAGCAGAGCTGACCCTGCTCCTTGCTGCAGGCTGCATTGGATGAGCTCGCAGAGGCAATGCTGGAGAAGTCACCCAGGTAGAGACAATGAGGGAAAGCTGGTGAGCTGACCAACCAAGCTACTAACCAGGCCCAGAACCCGGGCTATGATTGTCCCACCCCAACATCCACCCCTTCTATGAACAGTTGGAGCAGGTGAAGGGGGTGAACTTCCAGATCCAAAAGAGCAGGACAATCTCCATGACACAGGACACCAACAGGATATCCAGGAGGAGCCCCAGGGAGAGCAGAAGCCAGAGGCCTCGAGCCATACCAATGACTCTTGGCAAAGAGTAAAAACAAATGAGCAGGAGGGTAAATGGGGTGACTCAACAGCTACCTATGGCTTCCACGACTATCTTCTTTTTGTTTGTTTTATTTTAGCTTCTGTTTTGTTTTATTTCTTTGTTTTCTTTGATTTGGGGTTTATTTTTTAACTTTGGTTTTTATCTCGGAGTGAGGTTGCAAGGGCAGAGGGTCTATTTGAAGGGATGGGGAGACGAGTGGGTTAAAAAATAAAATGAAAACAACTGGGTGATCCAGGTCACCCATACTCACACTACCAGGACCAGCTCTACTGTTTTGCTCAGGCTAGCAGGGCCAGTCATTCCAACATAGAAATTTTGGAAAGACAATCTATTTTGTAAGCAGCTTAGCAATCACATGTACAAGGTTATCTATGTTATGCAAATTTCTCTGATACTGACAATCAGTCATTTAAACTTATGCTTTTTTAATTAAAAAAAAACTATCTACCTGTGATGACACACACTTGTTTTTCTGTGACCAAACCATGGGTTTTAGTCAAATAAAAAAATAACATTAATTGTACTATAGTCTCTATCTGATATGATAAACCTCATTGATAAAAAGTATATATATATATATATATGCCATATGAACTGTCACTTAGTAAAAATGAATCTATATTTTAAAACAATTTTATAAATTTCAATATCATCCTAACCCTTACTGTTATTTATCCAGTGTTCAAAATTGCAAATCTGTTGCCAAGACAGTGCCAGAGTAACCTCCCTTGTACATGTGTCAGTGCCTAGTCACTCCACATAAGTATTTAAGGGTGACCTAATAAGAGGTACTTTGCATGTGTGCCCCCATTTATGGGGTGCTTAGTGACTGCACATGTTTAGTAATATGTATATTAAGTCATTTTCCCTCTTAAAGTCCCTGAAAGAGACTTATTATCCCTTCTATCCCAGTGAGTAAAGAGAACACTATTGAGATTAAATAAATTAGCCAAGTGCACGCAGTTGCTAGAGACAGGTAGTAGACATAGTCTGGTCTCGTCTGACTCAAGCTTCTATTTTATTTTGTTTTGTCACCGCATGTTGCTTCCTGGACTTCTTAAGACTAATGTAGCAGTGTGCTGTTCTATGTGGTTCACTGACGCAGTGAAACTTTTCCTGGGAAATAAAAATATCTAATCTAGTTCCATCAACTCTTAGTTTGGGCAAATGAAATAAGAACAGCTCTGTTTCTATGCTTTGGCTGCAAAATAAATCACAAATCCCACACTACTGGACATGAAATGGAGATCTGTCTCTGAGTGACAATGACTAGGAAGGTTGTGTAGATACATTTGTTGTCCTAGAAAAGGTTAGTTTTGTTGAGTGAACATCGTCATCTCTGGGACTGTGGTCTTTGCACTTATACAAGACCCTTATCACATTGTTTGTGACCTGGATTCCTGGTCACAATGTGTTGAAATCAAGGGGTTTTCATTGTCCTTCTTATGTCTCTTTATGATGTTGAGAAACATGCCTTAAGCATGGAAAATTCTCACAGATATTTCACCATTAGCACTGAAGTCTTTCCAAAATGACAAATAGAAGCTCACGGAGCACATTTGCTATTGAACCTCCTGCCTGGACAGCAAGCTATCTAGGAAATGCTTAAAACCATTACCAGACTTTTGATTTAGAAACCAACTTCTTAAGGAATGTCAGATGGTGTTGGTATGGACTGTTCTTGTAATGATTGTATAATTCTGTCTATAAGAAGGCTAAGAAAACTTAATGGGTTCTAAACAGAGCCCTAAAGACAAACATAATATAAAAATAAACTTTTGCATAAAGCTATTACCCATGTGCCTGGGAGAATTGGTTATGGTTTTCATATGAAATGCCTCCCACAGGCTCATGTGCTCAATGACATTATCTGGGGTGTTATGGAGATTTCATGTGGTGGGGCTTCGATGGAGGAAGTAGGGCATTTCCAGCATGGTTGCACATGCTGCCCCAACACCTCCTGTCTTACTCTCTGCTTCCTGTTTACAAGGTCAACAGCTTTCCCCATGCTTGTTCTACACTAGCCCACTTGATTTTCTGCTGAAGCACATGGGATCAGGTAACCATGGACCGAATGCTCTGAAACTGTGAGCCCAAATAAATTGCTTCTCCTTTAAATCATTCATTGGGATGCTTCTGTCACAACAACTAGAAAAGGTGTCCACAGTGGAGCTCAGCTGAAGCATGGAGACAGCTCAAGTTGAGGTGACCTCCTCACTCCTCCTGTTGGCCTTCTCTCTCAGCAAGAACCCATTCTCTTGGCCAAAGAGTACATGACTGAAATAAGCAACAGGAAAATTAGCCTGTATGTCTCTAGCTTTACTCTAAAAACTGTACATTTCACCACATCATACTTCTTTGCCTTGAAGCATAAATAACCAAGACGATGAAGGCACATACAAACACACTTAGACCTGACAATAGTTACACAGGTACCTGGCAAAAATGATGGAAACTACGATGTCGCATATAAAGAGGTGTTGTCCTTCAGACCTGGAAGCAGCTGTGTGAACATGATTGGATGAATGCTGGTTGACCTCAGGGGAAAGGAGTTCTTCCAGAAACTTGCCAACACAAGCAGACCCTCTCTAGCCTTCCATTTCCTTCTCTTTCAGGAATCCATCTGCAATCCTACTCCTAGGCCCTTCTGATAGTTCCAGAATGACTTTGAGTGCCCTTTCCCAAGCTCTCACCTCAAAGAACCACACAATGTATCTGGCTATTAATAACAGGCTTTGACAATAGGCAGATGGAGGTGAGTTTCAGAATACTGATCTTTTAAAGAGGCTGGGCTACTTTGATGTTGAATTTGAGGCAAATTGAAAACCAAACAAGCTCTAGGGATTCAGGAAGCATCCTGGAAGACATTCAATAGCTGAGGCCATCCCAAGACTGCATGAAACCCCCAGTCCTTTTCCTGGGAGCCCTTGACTGTATCATAGTCTTAGGTAAATTAGCAATGTAATGGCATGTAGGAACAGGGGCAGAGTTGGGAACAGTAAGCTATTTTCCTGTAATAGATGCCAAAGTTCATCTAAATCTGAGTTGAGTTCTCTTTTCCCCAGAAGAGGCAGCTCTGCAAAAGACGCTGGTTAAGCTTTCAGGAAATCTAAAATGCAAAGTATGAAAGGACATGAACTATCCAAGTCACCAGAATTCATGCTTGGGACTATATTGTCTTAGTGCAGACTCACAGCACAGCCCAATGCATAGTATCCATGTCACATAGCAATTCTAGAAACTGCACTATGGTGAGAGGGCTACAGAGGCGAGTCATACCACAGCCATCACTGCACAGCTACCCACCCATTGCATCAAGCCAGAAATGATTCCACATTAGCCACAGCTCCCATGATCTCATTAGCAAAGATATTAAGAAGCATCAGCTACTCTAGGAGGAAAGATTGAAACAGTGCCACAAATTATTTCACCCAGAACATTTCAGTCTGATTGGATAGATAGATGCAGGGGGTGGTGAGGGGAGTCCATCTCCCTGTGGTAGCTTTTCTTAATCTTGTTAGGAAGGTAGTTGTATGATGGGAAAGAGATGCATCTTGACGTCTGCTAGTCCAGGTCAACTTTGGCATCCTGCAGATTGAAAGAATGGTTGAGACAAGTAAACAGATTATAGAATGATGATTCTCGGCTTATACAAGCTAAAATGGGGGACAGATCTGGTTCAGCATATAGATGGATTAGAAACTCAAATAATATGATTAGGACTTGCCTTTCCCCTTATTAGTTCTCTTTATGTAAGCTCTGGTTCTGGAAACATCTACTATAGCTGGTCAGTCAAAGCCAGCACACTGACAGGACAATAGGCTAGGCAGGATGGGGGTTTTCCCCCTTTAATTAGCTCTTCCTTCCCCAGTCGTAAGTCCTACATGAAAGTATGACTACTAGCACTATGGGCTTTTCTGCCTGTTATGAACAGACTCAGAACATAAGAGCAATAGATCTATTCCTGGGAAATGTATCAAAGACTCTGATTGAGTCACATGTTGACCCTAAGACTAGACTGTGTCCTGAATCATGGAAAGTCAAAGATGGAATCGGGTGAGTACCAAAGGCACATAGGCCAAGTCAAGACAGGATGAAATCAGACTACAGTGGCTATAATAAGAAAAGCCATGAACAGTGAGTGCCAGGAACAACAAATGCCCACTATAGTACATGGAGTGGCCTTGAAACCGATGTTCTCACAGTCTTTCATCTTAGCTTGGGTTTCCCTCCAGAAAATGGAGACTGAGATAAAAGCTTACATGTGGGTCATTTATTTCCAGAAATGCATCAAAAAAGAGTTGGGAGCTAAAAAAGAATGCAGAGGAAGCAAAAAGAAAAAAGCAACACTGTAGATATATTTTTAAGGGGAAAATATGAAGGGAGCATTTATTGACCAGATTCCACTCCCAGTGGCTTGAGGATTGTCCGTAGATAATAGCTCTCACCTACAGACTGACACAGGAACAATAATGACCTAGTGGGCTCTAGCAGGTATTCCACACTGCAAAATTAGGAAACCATGAAGCCAAAAAAGATAGTGTAGGTAAGCTCCACAACAATCAATATCAAAAGTAAGACATAGGATGTGCTACAAAGGCTGATACACGTTTCTTCTTGCACTCTTGAATTTTCTTACTTTGTGATTTTGGTTCATTTTTAAAATCAAAACTAGCCATAAAGAGAAAATAGCACACAGCTAGGCATGGGATTGTATAAGGAACATTAAGGAAAGACTTAGACTTGTATCTTTCCTCAGCCACCAGGAGTGGCATTTAGTTGAACGATCTATCATCACTGAAACAGAGATGTCAATAATGTCTACCATATGTGATTGTTGAGAATATTATCAATACATAAAGTCATGCTGTCACCTTATCAAAATACTACTTTCATTTCTACTGTTCTTAAAACTAACAAGATTTATAAATTTTAATTAAATTGGGAATACAAGCTAAATGAACTCCTACAGGTGTCCTTTCTAGCGTCTACCATTTCCATTCAGTTGCAGAAGTTTGCAATTCAAGATATTTACAATAACAACCAGGCTAGAGATGCCACTCCATAGTAGAATTCCATGAGGTTCTGACTTGTACTTACCACAGACACACAAACTACACACACACACACACACACACACACATACACACACCCCTCATACCAACACAAGAACTTTATAAGTCACTGAAATTGTTCCAGAATTTGATAGCAAGATTTCCCCTAATTCTCATCTCTTAAAAATGTATCACCCATCATTTTTGAAATCCATTTAATCTAAATCAAGAGAGTGATCATTTTCTATCCAGTCAAGTCCTAATGCAGCTTCCAGGAACTCAGAAGAAACATAAAGTGCATTTGTCATCATTGACAGCAGTACAAACACTTAAGAATTTGTTTCCCACTATTTCTTTATGCTGGGGTCCAATGCTGAACCCAAACATTAGCTATATTCTTGATGGGGAACCACAGCCAGGACACCTAGCCATGCACTACAGTCCTGGATAAATAGTGCTGTTCCCTTCATTCTAGTCTTCCAAATTATTGGGCTTTTGTGTGTCTCTTTAGATATTCTCACATAAGATAAGATGATGTTGAGCATCATTTGATTAGCCTCATTTGTCTTCTGATTATGGAAGATCTGAACTCCTTAGGGACCAAGTTAAAAGCTACCTTTTCTGTCTTTAAATTTCTCTTTCAGCCTGGCATTATTGCCAAAGTGTCAGAAAACCAAATTTTTCTTGGGTAAGAGGATACAGAGATAGCTTAACCCACATGCCTATTAGCCTCTTAAATTTTCATTTCCTTTAGTTCCCCAAATAGCCTGACCTCTATATTGTATTGCATCACCCAAGGCAGCTACAGCCAGTTGTCTGAAAGTATCTTGATTGCAAATCGATACCTTCAGGTGTTCGGAAAATGTGTCTAATATCCAATATCCCTCTTTGAGCTAGTCTCACCCATGGATGTTACACGGCTTGTATTTTAAGATGTATCATCTAAATGCACCCACCAAATATGATGAAAACCACCCAGTTGTTCTTATATCATGTACCAATATGCATGCAAACTTCCTCATAGACGGGAACAAAAGCATCAGGTAGCCCACACTGGGAAGAATTTCTGAGTTCACATTTTAGGAAAAGCATTAAGATAGTGGTGGTAAAAATTCTGAACAAAATTAAGTTTTAAGATAAATTACTAATTCTAATGAATGAAGGAGAGGGAGAAAGTGCCCTCAGACAAGTCAAATATGAGAAGGCACATGGGGACTAGGCTATACTAGAAAGCATTTTCTAATGAGTTCTTGCTGCTGTGACCACACGATTATTGTAGATTAGTGTTGCCAGATTTGTCTCTGCTGTCTCCAGCACAATTAGCCCGAATCAGGCAGTTCAGATTCTCCAGAGGAAAAATATGGATCATCTCACCACAGCCCTTGTTCTCCTGGGCCTTAGAGTGCCTGTGAACAGAGTGCCCCAAGTGTCCACAAGACCGCCCAGCCCAGCCTCATCATTTTGTATGTGAAAGAATCAAGGCTTGGAGAAGAAGACAAGTAACTTCCCAGAGCTACTGAGGTGGAAAAGCTAGAACATATCAGCATTCAAAACAAGTGGGCATTGTTCAGAAAGGTGCTCAGTGAAATGAAAACTACATGGGATTTTGAAATTTCAAAGAATTTCCAGTGGTTACATCCCAGCCTCTGCCCTTGAAGAGGTCAGTCCTCTGGGTAATCGGTATAGCAAATAACAGCATAGAAAAATAGACAAAGTGGGGAGGAAGGGAGGTAAGGAGAGGGGAAAGCATGAAAGGTGAGAGGGGGGATGGGAAAACAAAGAAAAAGAAAGTCCACACAGGGTCAGTAAGTGTGGGAAATGGAATCTCATCACACGCTAGGCTGTCTGCAAAGGCCAGTCATAAAGAAATCTACTTAACACAAAACTCTTTGCCTAAGTCACATCTATTAATATCCTATAGACCTGGCATTCGAGGAAACATATATTTGGGCATGCTGACTTAGTGAGCAGAGAGATGGATTTCAAAATAATTGGGCTGGAAAGTAAAGAAATTGAAACCACCTGGTTTGTGTCAAGCAAGAGGTCAGTAATGGTCCATGATTTTTCTGTCCTAGGTTTGGAGATGAGGGGAGCGTTTGTGTGTCCTTCAATAGGCAAGATAAGAAGAACAAATTTTCTTCTTTGGTTTGCCATTAGAGGTATGTGTGAAAGAGAATAAGAACATGGATCTGTCCTTGCTACTTTTCTTCCTGGGTATTTAAATCCCTACCAGAAACATAGAGCTCAGAATAGTATGCCCATATGTTTTTAACCTCTACAACAAACTACCATGATTTTTCCTCTAAAAGCTGGTAAAATTCCATTTCTACCTCAAAAACTGTGAGAAAAAAATTGGCCTTTAAACAAACTAATTTGAAAGGTTTAAAAAAGTATTAGAGACTTGGAAAAAAATGGAATAGAGGACTTAAATATCCCAAAGTGTGAAAATGCTACATTTTTATATTCAAATGATTTGAAATAGATGAACAGAATGCTTCCAAACTTTCTAAAAATATGTATCTTCAGGCAATTAAATAAATCAGCCTAAGGGTCATTTATTTCAAGCACTTAAAAGGACTGATTTAGGGCATCCATGAGCCCCATAACTGACTGCACCTGGGACACATGGGCGATGAAAGGCTCTTCACACTTTCCCAGGCCTGTAATGATATGTTTAGCTGAACTAATTTTAGACATGTCGGAAGCTTTTGATTCAGTATACCATAAAGTACTGGTGACAAGTCTGTGGTCAGTGGCAGACATGGGCCCTGGTCATTTTAAAGTTGGTTAGTGAGTCTATTCCTTAAAGGATGGTGGCCATAGGAATAACTCATGATTCACACATATTTCCTGAGAGGTTTTTTTTTCTTTCCCCTGCTCTATTTACTCAGCATGGGAACAAACTTTGGAACCCATCATTGGCAACTCCATCTTCTTCATGACACCCATCCTACTACAAAAATTTCTACCAGGCCATTAGAGCCCACCTGATCTTTTTGCTTGACTCATAGTTATTTTGGTTCAAGCAAGAAGTATCCAGCCAGCCTGACTAGACTGAAGTTGCCATCCTCAGTTAGAGGAAATAGAGTAAGCATGTCATAAGGTAGACCCATCCATATCAGAGCTCATCAGAGATGAAAGCTCACTGACTGGTCAGCTGCTTGGGCATGGACAATAAAAGTCTTCTTTTGCCTGAGATTTGGATCTGCATGTGTCTACATTAACTTCAAAGAAACACTACATTCCTGTCCCTCGGTTTCACCTTGGTATTGCCACCCTCTTCTCTACAACACTATGTTGTACAGAGGGATTTTATTACCCTGTTTTCTTCAGTCTTGTTTGTTTTGCATCATTCAGTTCAGATCCTTTTCACCACTACACCCTGCAAAATTCACCATGAATGGATTTCTGCTCCAGAACTCCTCACCCAGAATAAGGGGCTGAACACCTTTGGTGCTATCTCTTTCTAGAGAGATTCTAATGCTGTAAGGAACTCAGGACAGATCACTACTGTCCTTTCATTTTATACAACGA